GTGGAGGCGGCACTGGGTTCCACAGTGGATGGGTGGATGGAGGGTGTGGGTTGGCAGGACTTGGTTGAAGTTCAGGATGTTCACGGTTTCACTACTAATAGGCGTGGCCAGGTGAGCAGTGGTTAGCAGGATTTTCTGGATGGCACAATGGCACTAGAATCAACTATAGGGTAACCATTATCCATTTTGGCGGTGATTATGCACCTTCAGGATTTGGCCATGGAATTCTCTCACGGACGGGGCCCTACAATCTGCCATGGTGAGCTACAGGAAGGTAGCTGGCCCAGTGGGGTTGCAACTTGTGAGTTACTCTTAAAGACTCGGCTACTGGTGGCTGGTGTTTATGGTGTCTTTTACTTGGCCCATGGAATCCGCCTTGAAACCACAGCTACTTCGACTTCGAGCCCGTTTTCTGCTCACCAAGACGACCCACGTTGGTCGTTCGCTTCCCCAGGGCTTCCCCCAGCGTCCGACCAGGTGGTGTGGTCTTGAGTCGACCCTTAGCAGAGACCTTGCTGCGCTTCGAGGAGCTCTTCCTGGAGACCTGCAGGCCGATCCCGCGGAGCTGCAAACCGGACCAGTCCATCTTCTGGCGCGGTCTCACCGGTCTTCTCGCGTTCCGAAGCTGGAGGTCATCAGGTTGTTTTGGTCCTTTGTGTGTGTGAATTTGTGGGCCGATCATGTGGGTATGGTATGAGGTATGATATGTTGTTCATAGCAAGGAGCAGCTGCTTAGTTTCCAACCGATGGTTAGTTGTTTCTTCGATCTCATGATGGCAAGATGTTTCTTGGTCAGCACGGATGACTAGAAGATTGGCCGTGCTCGGGCGCTCGGCAGACATCTCAAGACGTTGTACCACGAAGGACCTCTTCTTGAGAAGTTCATTTGCAGTTAGGATATCCCCACCCTCTTGCCTGGGGAAAAAAGGCGGTGGACGCAAAAAAAGAGGTAAGTTACTTTGTTGGGTGTGTGTGTATATAAATGTATGTTCCCTCCTTCCTACGTGCCTCTTGGGGAGTGAAACAATTGTAACTTACCTGTCCTTTTTTGACATGATATATTCCAAGATCTTGGATGGACAATCCCTGGAAAGTTCCTGGATAATCTCTGGGGAATCCTAGGTCTACGTCAGTCTGCTTGAAGTTACTTTAGGGGGGTTAATGTAACGTGGTAGCTTGCATTTTTTTGGCTACCTCTTTTTTCAAATCTTTGTATTCTGTTTGACCAGTTTGATGCTTCTGACGCTTCGCTGAGAGTTCATGTGCTGATCATCATCAGCATCAACATGTAAGCTTACAATATTGCGGCTTGAAATCGAACATGTAGGCTTTATTTTGTTCAGGGTTCTTTTAGAACATGTAAGCTAAGGCATAGTGGACCACCCCCCAAAAAATTACCCGATTTGAATAGTAAATGCTCTTGCGACTCTTGTGGCACTCCATGAGGTGACACTCGGGTGCCGAAACCAAGGGGTCATCCAGTACATGTGTCATCATGTGTCTATATACATTGGTTTCAGAGTAGATGGCACAAACTTCAAGATGTCTTTAAATCAGGCATCCATAGAAACGTAGAAAGTACCTGTTGGGGATTGTGCCATGTTACGTCTCAAGCCACGACGACAAGTATGCGTATGCCTTCTTCAGGCACGACGACGCCTTTCTGGGGCACTTCCTTCGCTATGTGCTTGACGTCCATGTCACAGCTTCTTGGCTCGGTCACCTCATGCCCGCAATGTCCCGCGCGCATCAAAAAAAACGAGACATAAAGACGTCGACGCGAGAAGGTCATATTTGTGCCGTAGAATGTGAAAAAACCTCATTTCAACCACCAATATGCTATTTGTGAAAAACTCGATGTTGTGCGATTTTAAATAGAGAAAGATTTAGGAACTTGTGACAGTTGTGTGGGGCCCGTTCAGGCATGTGAGGCTCAGAGCTGACAATTCATTCGACCTTTTGATGCCTACATTGAGAAAGGTCAGAACTGAGAACATCAACACGAGAAGGGCATGGATGCAAAACCAATGCAAGTCCCCAACTAGTACTTTGGTGTGCCCATCCCTTTGGGCCATCCACGAGAGGAACCGCCCAGTGAGGCCCTGCCGGGCGTTCTGCAGGAGCCTCGCTTTGATCACATCCACTGGAGATGCTTAGCGGCAACCATGGGAATGAGGGGATTGACCGCTTGGATCACTTGGTATCAATGACCGGCGATGTGACGAAATGCTGGGAAGATGAGCCTACTAGTGTTTTGACATACAGACATACATGTGTGTTTCGTTTGGTGGTTTCGGAGGCTGTGATGTCAGGATTTTGTTACTGGACTGGTTTGGAGATGCTGCAATCGGCTGATATCGGGTGATTCAGCTTGATCTAGAGGATTTCTGGTGATTCAGCTTGCTGGGCACGACCTGGTTGCGGTCTATCAATTTGGTATTTGAACCCGTTCCCCAACCATGTATGGAATATGACGGGACAATTACCTACATTGACCCTTAAAACAGTTAGAACATAATATATATTATACTATATTATATTCCATACATGGATTGTTTGGGGTTGTTGATCCTGAGAATGCTTACATGTCGAGGTTCAGAGCTTTTGGGTCCCGACATGTTCAAATAAAGCAACTAATGAGCAAGGGACCAATTCACAATCAGCCACCCACCAACGACCAATCACAAAACACACATCAGAAAACTCCGCTGAACCTAGAACCCATCTAGGACTGGTGCTGCTTCTTCGGGTTTCGGTGGGAGTGGCGTGGGAGTGGCAACACCGTCCTGGGACCATCAATGGCTGTACGTCACCTGGGTGGACGCTGTGTTGGGCATGAAGATCATCGAAACACTCGATAGATGAACACGATAGATGAACTTCGCATGGGTAATAGATGTTTGGGTAGATGGAGCCATCCATTTTGCCTTTAAGAAAGCAACAGATCACAAGAAGATCATCGCATGTCAGAGTCGGTTTTGGTTGTCATACATTATTGTTCACCTCAGACCTCAGCTATCGCCGCATGGCTGGAGTAGTGTAGAACATGCCACCTTCAGAAGCCTATTAGCATCTAGTAGCTACTACATTGTAGTGATTGAACATGATTGAACAATCCACTTTCACCGTACCTACTACACCCCAACTCCATTCCCCTGGTCCACCTGGCTGCCACTCTCAGGTGCTTCCGGTGGGTCGATCCCACCCTGCCCCGTGCCGCTTCCACGGCCGGTCGCTTCGGCTGGAGCGCAGGACGCGTTAAACGACGGGTCTTCAGGAAGACGAGTATCACTTACGCCTGACCCGTGACCACGAATGACCAATATATACCCATACATGAATATACCAGTATACCTTACGCCTGTGGTCTTCGGCACAGACCTGATGGGACTGGGTGGTGGAGGCTCCTGCTGCAGGATCTTCCTATATCGGTCGGTAGGTGTTGTTTGGCCTTTTACACGGGAGAGGACTCCGAAGGGCGGGGAAAGCGTTCGAAGGCTGTTGTGGAGACCTGCTCCAAGAGTTTGTTTTGGGACCTGCGCCGGAGTCTTTGGCATAGCATTGTGTCCGCCTGTATAGGTTTAAGTTAGGAGTGGGCGATGGTTGAACACGTGCAAGTGTGTGTTGCTTTACCCTTCGTCAACTGTTTAAAATACTAGGTGAATTTGGCAATGAGATGCCATCAGTGAAATCTTTGTTTTTCTCGGTGTGAAATCTGTGTGCTTCAGGACAAAGAAACAGGGTTTCACCAGCTGGGTTTCTTTGCCCTAGTGACCTAGTGATCTTGAGAGATCCGAGACTGCCCTTGTTGTCTAAGCGGATCAAAGGCCGTGCCGCCGGCGTTCGGTTCGCGGAGGTGACGGTCACATGGACGATCCATGTCGGCCGTCGGTTCATTGGGTCTTACCCTATAGGGCTCCAGTCGTACCTCCTCCAAAGGTACGACGGGACCCTCCAAAGCCACCCGAAGCACCTTCCCAAGTACTTGGAGCCCTAGGGCTACAATATCCTAATAGATGTCATTTGCATTCATTTGTTGCTTGGTCCCCCCCCGCGAACCCCCTGAAGAGCTCCAGCCGTGTGCCCTGGGCAAGCCCCTGTCAATTTCTGTTGATTATGGTGGACATGTGATTAGTAGTTGGAGCCCATATTCAAATCAATGATCCACAGCACATTGTATAAACATCTATTACAGCAAATAGATATATATATATAGATACAATTATTTATACTTTTTTCACACACTTTCAATACGAACACTGTGACATCAAGACCGGAGACCCAAAAAAGACTTGGGCAATTGGGTAAACTGATGGTAACTGCATCCGCCAATTGCGTCGCCATTGGTGAGTGAAAATCTGAGGTCTTCTCGCCCTTGGAGGACAGATCCGTTTTTGCCTGCAGAAGTCCCTTCCTCTCACCAGAAGGGGCAGAAGGAGCTTTTTAGACCTCCCAAATGCGGGTAGACCTTCGGCAGACGCGACAATGCCAACCAACAGACCGAGTTCAGATTTCGAGGACCCTCTCGTAAGACATGGGGTGTCTAAATGTCCAAGGGAGTCGATTTGAGCTCGCTCCAGTTGAATTTGGGACAATACAACACACCAGTTGAAGGAGAATTGAAAGGACCTGACTTGGAATTGCCTCTCCAAGTAAGTCAAGTCAGTCATCCAGTCATCCAAAATAGTTCCATTGGAACATACCAGTCAGCTTGCACGATTGCGGAAGAGTTCCATTTGGTAACTAGTACTGCCATCTCAGCAGGGGAAGTCTCTCTACCAGTTCCAAAAAGGTGGTGAAGGAGAATACGGGTGCCCGGAACATTCCTGAATAAAACCCCTTCGTGATTTCCGGCAGATGTTTTTGTGACTCCTAGCCACTGCCGAACACCGTCAGCGAGGACTGGGGTCCTTTGCAGCCCTTCCCGCCCATGGATGCCACTCGCTTGGCGTTGGTCCACTCGGTCGGGGAACCAAGGTCGGACGTGGTCTGATGGGGATTGTCAGGGTCGGACCGAAGGGTGGAGGGTTCCGGGTACGATCCAGGGACTCAATGGACCCTAGACTTTTCTCTGGTTCGGATGGGTCGTTCTGAAAGTGGCGTTCGATCTCAATTCCACCCCTCAAGAGGTCCAGCTGGTATGGTCTTCATTGACACGCCCAGTGGTTGCGCCAGGCAGCTTGGGTCAGTTCCTGTGATGTAGCGTTTGGCTCAGATCCCTGATCACGCGTGCCTGTGCACGCTCGTTCCAAAGTGGTCAATGGATTGTGTCGGTCACTTGGCAGCAGGGCGGTGCTGGCGGAGGGTGGATGCTTAAGCAACATCTTTCAAACCAGGTCTTTCTACCAACACCTTCCACGAGAAAAAAAGACACATATGCAAGTTTCTTTGCAAACGAGGGATGGAGGGGATCATTATCGCTTCGAGCTGAATTTACTAGGTGTAGTCTGCTAAACAGGACACTCGGAGGTGGAGTTCACTTGATACTGACCTCAGGTCGCAGCCTCACCCCACTTCCCATCACTTGCTTCCTTTGGGATGCCAGCCGCCCAAATCCTGTCGTAGATATGTCATGATATGTCAGACCTCTGAATCTGCTCGCCCAGAAGGTGCAACGTGATGTAGAACACTCCGCTACTGAGGTGATGTAGAAATGAGATCAGTGAGTTGCGCCCGCACATCGCCTTTCTGCTTTCAGGCATGGTCATTGACTCCAAAGTGTCCGGAGACCGGGAGAAGATGGACGGTGCCGGTCTCCGGTCTCCGGGGGGTGGTGCTTTTGCTCGGGTGAGGCAGCACCCTATAGCGGTGGAGATGTGACTGGAGGAAGCCAGAGCGGCTCACCTACATCCTGGCACCTTCAAGCTATGGTGGACCAGAACTCCAGGTTTTGACATGTGTTGCCCATTCCCATGGTCTTTTCAGGTGGAGCACTGTGGATCGTCGATTCGATGGATGGTGTTTCTTGTTTTTGTCTATTTCGGGGGTCATAATGATCAGATCCTACAAGTCATTTGAGGATCCGTTTGACACGCACAAGGAAACTTTAATAACCTTCTTCAAGACAACTATACCCTGTGAACCAAAGGACTCGTTAAACTTGATCGTTAACACTTCATTCATATGAATGTACTTAACTTTTAAAGATCGTACTTTACTTGGCTATAAGCACCTCTAAGCAGACCATTATATATTATGATTTTAGTGCTCGAAAGCTAGGTTACGATTATCCGATCCCGAGCTATGGCAGAGCAGTTCGCGGCGGAGTCCCTCCAGCGCTCGCTGGTCCTGCACGGCGAGAGCGCTGCGGGGGCCGGCCTGGTGAGCCTCTACCCCCTGGACCTGCAGAAGATGTACGGCCTGGTGCCCCGGCTGCCCCGGAGCCTGGTGCCCCAGAGACCGCCGCTGGACGAGCACGAAGTCTTGATCGTGCCCAGCCTGCGGCAGTTCCAGATCCTCTTCCGCTGCTTCGCCGGCGCGGCGGCGGACCTGCCGCTGCCCGAGAACTGCTTCTTCGCGGGCTCCGCGTACTAATTCCGTTGAGAGGTTGCGTTTTGACGATTCGGGTGTCAGGGACAGCAAAAAAAATAAATAAAATAAAACAGGCGTTTGGTGAAGGATTTTTTAAACTATAACATTTAAGTGTATGTGCATTGTATGTGCGCGGCGGCGGTTAGCCACTTGACAATGGCGCGCAGGCCAACGGCCATCTGTGGCTCTGTTTGGAAAAGGGAACAGAAGATGGGGTCTCATGATCCAAACAATTCTCTGATCCATAATCCATGTGATTTCATCTTGGGGGTTCATTGTGTTGTCATCCATCAATGAACGCAGCCATGGCGGACAGAGTCAACCAGCGCTTGCAAGATTTGAACAATTTGATAGATGAATTGGCGTTGCAACGGCAGCGAGGCACCAAACAAAACACAACGTGTTACCAGCCGTTTTGTATAAATTGTCTTCATGTGTACTGTACTCCTCCACCTTCACCAGCGCGCTCCGCTCCAAATAGGCAAGCTTCAGATCCAAAGGAACGTCACAGAGCTGTTGGAATCTATCAACATACAAGAAGAAGAACACATGAAAGGCTCGGGATGTGTTTGTTTTTGCGGCAAAGGTTTGCCTGCTGGTAGGTGGTGGGCATTCCTTCTGGGCCAAGAAATATTTGATGCTTATTACCGTGCTATATATGGACATGGTATACATCTTGTGAAACAACATCATTGCAACTAATGTCACTTGGGCAGGTGATGATAAAATGCGTGCAGCTATTCGGAGCGTCCAGGACATCATTCAGCGAGCAGGTTATCGGATTTGGATTCAGCATACTATCAAGAAAATCAATCTAGTAGGCAGTAGGCAGGTAGGTGAAGCTGCTCTGTCAGGTGAAGAGCAACAGCTTCTTGAGAAGATAGAAGAGATCGAGAATCAGTTGAATGCAAAACAAACGAAAAGAGGCCTGCGGTGCGGGCTGTCTTGTTGGGAAACAATAGTACCAGTACCAGGTATTTGCTTTGCACGGTTCATGCAAATTGAGACATCTACACTGTGAAGTATCCTGTGTGGCTCTGGGTATTTCGAATTGTTCGGCTCGCAATTGTTGGATAGGTCGCGCTGATGGTTCTGATAGTGGCAGCAAGAAGAATGGTTCTGCAGCCCCTGCAGCCCATGAGTCAAATGACGAAGGCGAGGACTTCGCAGAGGATGAGGAGGAAGAGGCGGAGGCTCCGGAGGAGGAGCTGGACGACGTTGTTGAACCGTGTCAAGATGCAAAGAGGTACTGCCGCGGTCGAGGAAAATAATAGAATCATAGTCTATAGCGGCTATAGGAGAGATGCAAGCTATAGGCTATAGGCTATAGCTAAGCTAGATTCTGAACTGACTGGACTGTAGCTTGCGACCGCGACACATACTTCAGGGCTCGAAAAGGCCCTTTGTCGGAAAGGATAAGGGAATCAGGGAATCTACATTTACATGGTGAAAGTCAAAAAAGGCCCGTTACTATTGCACGTTTGCTTTTCTGAATGTTGAGTTGCACATTAAGTAGAAAGATTGATTTGCATGTGAGTCACTGCTTGGACTGTTGGCTGCTCGGACTTATATCGTCGCACGTCACACACAGCGTGACACCACACACAGTACACAATACAACTACAACAATAGACGGCTGCCACAAATTACAAGCATTTATATACATTGAACTGTTGTTGCTGTTGTTTTGCAAATGTTCAGATTCAGTTTCTAGTACTAAGATGAGATGCACTGTGCAGTGTACAGAAATCAGAAAAGTGCTTTCAACTTTCAGCCGGAGAATTGGCCAACCATGGACGACTCGCCACCAGATGGCAAAGCAATAGTTCGACCTCATGTTGCTCGACAACAACTAGTGGTCTTTTATTGGGTGCGTGAGCGGGGCCGGTACGCTGCTTTGGAAGTCAGAGACGTTGAGAACTCCCAAACACTTTTTCGAGCCGATCTTCATCCACGTGTCCATGCGTGTGGTCCGGGTGGAAGAAAGAGTGGCAACAGGCTGCCATTGGAAGATCATGATGTGCTTCGGGAAGAGACTCGCGCTGGCGCTGGGGTTGTTGGGGTAGTTTTTGTGAATGAGGTTCCCCAAGTCAAGGTGGACATGGAGTCAGCAGATTCATCATCACAGCGTTCGTTGACATTGTCAATGATTGAGAACTTCTTGGGCGTAAAAGTCAATTTTGGTCCAGACTTCATTGATCAACATCGAATCCAAGTTCGCCATTTCAACAACAAATCAACTTCAGCCTCAACCATTGTGCAAGCTCAGAGTCAGAGTCAGGAAAACCATCCATTGGAGCTTGAGATTGTTCTTTCCAAATTAGAAGAGGCCTGCCGCTGGAATGAGGATGGCCTCAAACAAGTGGAAGTGCTCAGATCCTATCTTACAGTCAAGTTTCTCAGATATTGCAAGTTTAGTTTCAATTTTGTTTCATTTTCCTAAGCAATCTAGAAACATAGGCTACCATAGATCATAGGTTTGGATTACATATTTAACTGCTGCAAATGTATAATTCTGACTTCACTGACTGCACTGCACTTTACTCTGTCGCGAGTCGCGAGTCGCATGCCGTCAGAAACCTAGGTCATCGAAAGAGTCCAGAGCATGTGGTGGACTTACTTACTCACCCATCTACATGTTGGACTCAGTCCTTCTGTCAGACCGCTTGCGTGTGAAAGATGATCTTGAGTCTGTCCTGAGAGAGCCACTTGGAGAAGCGTTCAAAAGGGTCTGTGAATTGGCATCGATCACCTGGTGCGTAGGACAAAGGATTGCAGATGTGCTGTAAGACAGCCTAAGACAGCTCAGGTCCACCACATTGGTATTGCACAACGCGTTGGCAGAGTTTATCCTGAATCAGCAAATATGTTTGCCGAAGAAGTCAATCCTGTATGAGCACCGAGTGACTCTTGATCTTTGCACCATGGTCTTTAGCCGCAGGTATTGGCTATCTATGCAATACCAGTGGTGCTGCCACCTCAGGACTATATGTCTTGTGTGGCAATTGACGCCGATATATTATATATGATGTATGTAATATATGTGTGTTTCATGTCCTTTGGGGTGGTAGTAGTGGTTGTTGTTGACCTATTGATGTTGTTGTTGGCGTCATAAAGAGTACTAGGTAGTAGAATAGCTGAATCACCTGGCAGGACAGACAGCTCACCTCAATTTGCCCGCGACTATCTAATGTCAGAGTTGGACATTGTCTACACCAATGGCATTCACTACTGGAAGGACTTGAATGTTGGCGTTGAAAAACTTGTTACTAGACTTCTCCCTGGGCAAGTCTTGGGTTCGAGATCAACAACGCTTGCGCATAAAACTCGCAAAGTTCTACACCAGCTTTCCCTTGAGTCAGAGTTTCTTCCTGGGACTTTGTCAAGATGCTACTCAATATTAACAGACTTTGGCGTTGAATCGGGACTGTGGAAAGCGCCAGCTGAGATGTTGTCCACACTTCAGCGTGACTACCACTACGAGACCCTCTTTGGCCTATCATTGTTCATGCCAGACCATGATCATTCACTTCATCACGCAGCCAATCCTATTTAGTACATGTTCAACTGGTCCTTTTTCTTTTCAATCTTCTAAGATTAAAAGAATCAGAAGCCACAAGTTACTGGAGGCACAAGCACATGACAAAGTACATACAATAGGTTCAAGTCTGCATTGAATATAGTAACATATTCCCAATTGTGATTCCAAATGCCAGTCAATGACTCAATACCTAATGCTGAAAGGTGATGGAATGCTTTGAATCGCATTTTGACTGGTTTGAATATTTTGAACCACGCCTCCGTGCGATTTGCCTCTTCTTCAGCCACAAGGGTCGATCTTTGCGCTTTGCAAACTACTGCGTCAAGCACAATTCCGCCATCAAGGATGGGTTGGGGTCGGGTTGGGCACGGTTTGGCAGGCCTTAGGCGGATTCACAGACACAATCCAGTCCAAAAACAAATATGCAAGGGCGACCTTGACAGGACCAGGCGCTCAAGAATTCATTCGTTGCCATGTTTGAGACCACTTGTCCGCAGCTGCTAAGCCACCGATGGCAATACGTGCCACTTGGGAAATTCAGCGGAAGATTCTCTAAGCCTTTGAGGATTTTGTTTTGGTATATATATATATATTTATGTTTGGGTATATGTTGCGCATGTCAATGCATGCATGCTGTCGTGTACACAAGTTTA